TTGTTTGTTTGTTTGTTTGTTTGTTGTATTAATTAGCTTGGCAAAGAAGCTTTTCCAAGCAGTTTTCATGGCTCTTTCTGTACTTCAGGTGTTGCATTTTTTTCCAGTTTGGCCACACATTCTTTTGCCAGGTGAATTATAGTATTTAAGTTCTTATACATTTCACAGATTTGAGCAAGTTTCAAAGCCAGTAGATCCCCCCCCCCTCAAAAAAATGTGTTGCAGCTGTCTAAAAATAAGGAAAATAACCCCTCTCCCTGCTGATAAATTGAAGGTAAAAATGCTACTTTATGTTTTGTCATTTAATCAGAGAAAAATAAAACTTACACAATAATCAAATAAGTCATTTTATAGACATGAGCAAGTCAGAAGTTTTCAAGAACAAAAGTCTGCACAGCATATGAGTAGTATAGGAAGATCATCTAGCACCCTCTGCAGTCACATAGTGGAAACACAGATAAGAAAGTAGTTTTTAAAAAATAGATAAAGTATCAAGATATTGCATATACTCCAAATATCAAACACTAGTGGGGCTTACAGGGGAGGTATGGCAAACTGAAGGCAGCTCTGTAAAAGCAGAGCCGATGACCACGGCAAAGCCCAACGAACTGGTGAGTAGACCAGTTCCCTGAAACCTCTCTGGATAATGAGAGGATGGGATGGCTGCTCTCACAAGGAGACCACAGGACAGCAGTTTTCTGCAGGTTTGAGCACCAGGAGATGACAGAATTAGCCATCTTGCTCACAACTGTGGCAGAGATTTTTAAAGGATGCTAAGTTCACAAACCTCACTTTCTATCACTTTCAGAAATTGCTAATTAATTACTTCCAAGCTACTAGAGCCCTTCAGACAGATAAGTTTGAAAAAGCTGGGTGAGTCTGCCTTCAATCCTTAATGAAAGAAAATCTCAAAAATCTTAATCATAAGCTTAAGAATTTAAAGAATCTGAAATAAACAGCAAAAAGTTAAACAAGATTTTGATCTTAGAAAGTTATAAACGGACTAAGGGTCCAGATAAAATTGGAATACTGAAACTTTTACAATAAGATTTTGAAATTAATTATAAAGAAGAAAAGTTAAACAAGATTTTGATCTTAGAAAGTTATAAACGGACTAAGGGTCCAGATAAAATTGGAATACTGAAACTTTTACAATAAGATTTTGAAATTAATTATAAAGAAGAAAAGTTAAACAAGATTTTGATCTTAGAAAGTTATAAACGGACTAAGGGTCCAGATAAAATTGGAATACTGAAACTTTTACAATAAGATTTTGAAATTAATTATAAAGAAGAAGAAGCTTCTCGTGGAAAATACATTCTGTTTTGGTTTTTACAGGACAAAACAAAGCTAAGTAATTTCATGATTTCAAAAACTGGACACAAGAGGGGACTAAAGTTTTTAGAAGGAGGAAAGATTTACAAACCTGTAAAATGTTGCAAAACATTGTAACAATGAAAATATTGAAGAATGGAATCAGAAAATAGCAGCCACAATATCAAAAATGTCAGTAATAATGCCTGCTTCTATGGATAGACTATGCCCAAAATATGTTATTGAAGAAACCACAGATGTAGAACAAATTTAAGCTGACAAGATACAGGTGATATTGAAAGTGGATTTACAGATGACAGGCCAAGAGAATGACTTAGAAAAGGAATTTTCACTACAAATGAAATTGGCTGAGGCTTTAAAATTCAAAAGAGAAATACAAATGACAAACCAAGAGACAAACTTGGATAATTTTTTCCTACTGGATTTACAAAAAAGGCTTGTTAAAGCTTTGAAGAACTCTGTGAGATGGGACAAAGAAGAAATGAAGAGAAATCAAATCCTAGAACAATATTTGAATGAACTAAACATTAAGATTGTTTCAAGTAAAATGAAGGAATATAAAGTTGGTTTATTTGATCAAGGTTAAAACAATGCATGTTGTTACCTCTGGCAACCCTTTACAAACTTTCTGCTGACACCAGAACTGAAAAGATGATTTTTCATGGATTTGTTTATAGGTAAGAGGTGGGACATGGGATGAAGAGATGTTTGTAACCTTAAAGGGGGTGAAGAGTCACTAAATTTGTTTATATTTGTTGTAATGAAGGTTGGAAGTCACTTCTTTATATATTTCTTTTCTCCTTCATTATATTCCTACTTTTCTCTTTCTTCTCTCTCTCTTTTCTTTTTTCTTCACTTTTTACTCCTTCTTTCTATTATCTTTTTTACTATTATAATCAAAATTCTTTATATATATATATATATATATATATATATATATATATATATATACAAACAAACAAACAAACAAACATTGGGTGGGGCCACCATCTTGCCT